GAGGTAAGTGGATGTGATAAGATTTATCATGTTTACATTCTTATAATGACAGCCATTTAACCTGTGAAATCCACTCAATTCCAAGTTTTATTCCTTTGACAAAGAAGATTCCTAACAATTATAATTATTTAAACCTGGAGTTAAAAAGAAATAAGCATATTGCATGTTTACACAAAGTATGTTCCAAAAGAAATGCATTAAACTATTGTGGAAATGTAGCCATAGCCAATATATTTTTCTAACTATTGATTCGCTGAAACCAATATCTTTTGCCCAGTTTTTCTATTCATATGGAAACCATTCATTATCCCAGCAAATATCCAAAGCACAAACAAATCAATGAACTGTGCAAACTAACCAATATATTAAACTTACAGTTCAATAAAATTGTTGCATGCAACTATTTTTTCACACATATGACAATCTAACTCTGTTAGGCTCTTACAAATATGAAAGTTGCTTTTTCTCCAAAATGGCACTAATTTTGGGATATCAACATTGAAATTGTGGGTTTCTCCCTTTATTGTACTAAAAACATATGCATTGGATCTTAAGGCTCCATTGATTTCTGCCAGGTTAATTATCACATGCAAAGACAATCTTTATTACCTAGAGTGTATTAACCCTAGAGTGTGAATATTTCCATATCAGAAGAAATACAGCAATTTGTATTGATAAACTGGATATAGTTTCTTGAACCACATAAGTGCAAGTAGTGAAGATAAAGTGATCTTGGTTTTTTTATTAGGTTATTATTGCAATGTGATTAACTTCTATGGCTAATGATGACAATCATAGCAGCTCACATTTTCACTGAAAGTCGGTTTGGAGAATTTACACGTAGATCTCTTAGAAATGTGCCTTGTTTATTAATAGGACTATACTGTTTATTTTACTTTTTACTACAGCTTTTACCTTGGACTTCATATCTGAGAGGAAATTGCAGCCAAAGTGCAAGTCATCGGAACTCATGCAGGTTGGCAACTTCAATCAGAAGGGCCAACTGCAATGGACAGCCTATCTAACTCCTCTTTCCTAGGAGGAAAGACTCCTCCTTGACATTGTGCTTGATACTTGTTGATGCTCTATGCCTAATAAATATACCAGACTTTAGAGGCCCCTTTTTGTACATCTGTTTCAAAAGAGTGAAGCTACTATGAAAAGTGACATTAACCTTTAATTGTAATTCCTTTCTCTCTCTTAGTTGAGGCAGCTCTATTGTGCATTCAGTATAAAACCATGCAGCATGTTATTGGAATGTCATCAGTGTGAATAATGGACCCCACAGTTGCAGACATGAACCTCAGAAAGAAGGATTACCGATATGTCCATCATTGAAAGTCTCGACATCCAAAACAATGAATGGGATTAGTCTGAAAATCTATGACAATATTTTGAAAATACCAGACTGTGAATACTCCAAGAATGATAAACACATAACAGGAAACTATTAATAACTTTATGGTCCTTAAAAATGAATGCTGACTTTTCTATTTTCTAACAGTGAAACTAAAATGGATAGAGTGTGTTGGTAATATGAGGGTGATACAAAAATGGCAGCTCAACATTAGTTGGTCTTAGGATGATGGACCTTGAACAGGAGATGAAACACTGAAATTTCAATTTAAATAAAATTTCTCAGAAATGTTACATCCACAATTCCTGACAATTGTGTCTTCTCAGAAGACTATCATCACTCCATTTGTTGCATTTCTGAAAAAAAGATTTATTTTCCTTTTGAAAATAAAATGATTGCGGGTACTTCTCTTAGGCATTGAGTTAGCATAAGTATTAATACTATTGCTTCATTATTCGAAATTATTGTGGTTTGATTTCATTCACATGCAAGACTAGACTAGTAAAGTCATATATGCCATATAAAGAACACTAGCTTTCAAGGGATGCATATTTTTAAAATTATTCTCAATAACAACAAATTATGAATTGTCAAAGGAGGTTTTACCTGCTTCATTGAACCCTGACCTTCGAAGAAAAAAGAAAACCTCTTCTCATATAAATTATTTCTTCAGCAGAGGAATAAAGTAGACTGAGTAAAATGAACCAGATCAAAGGAAGTATAGTGTGTCGGACAGCTTCATTTTACTCCTTTCAAGTCATTTTCCTTCTTTCTCATCCATACTCTATTTGTTGGAAGACTGACTTACCCAGAATATGTTAAATTTTTCTATGTCCTATTATATCTGGTAGGGTTTCTGGGAACAAGGAGAAAAACTGGGGAAAGTAGATGTGGAGAAAGCAGTTTTCTGACTCCCTCCTTGTGAGGCAACTTCATGATGGTCATGTTCCTGTACCAATAGTGACTGTTCCTCTTAAAAGAGAGGACTACATGATTTTCTCCTTGTGGGCACTGCCAGTCAAAATCACTCCCTCATCCCTTTAGACCAAGAATGGGTAACACATTGGTTGTAAGCTTTATAAAGCCTGTGTTACTGCTTTATTTCTTTTAGTCTCCCTATAGCTACACCTTTATAAATTAGCCCTTTTTTAAAGATTATTTATTCATGCATACAAGAACCAGGGTACAGGCCAGATGTGCTGGAAAATGAGAGGATTCACCAGAGACAGAGCAGGGAATAGAACAGGCAGACTGACCGAAATACACTGCTGATGGGATCAGTGGGCGAGACAGGAGAGGTCTGCTGTGCCATGTGGGTATCTCCCCAGATGGTTGGGATTGAACCTGTGCTGCAGAGGCTGCAAACAACTTCACAGCACTGCACTCAACCACCTGCACCACTGGGGAGGCCCCTAAATTAGCCCTATTATGAAGAAATGTTTGAACCTAGTTCTTTTTCTTTCATGACATAATCATTGATGGGTTATTTTTCAGCTCTATATATCCAAGTGTGAAACTATGACATAAATGAAAAATGAGTGATGTTTCTTAGAATAAAGCAAGGTACCAAAAAAAAAAATAGTAAGAATCTACAATATAGATTGATATTAGATTAAGATGTCTAACAATTCTGATTTTTTTGAGAGTAGGCAAATAATAATTTTCATATTACTTTAAAATTTGTTACCTTGATTGTACTTATAGACAATTTTATGTCTCAATCTCCTAAAGTTCACCATTGTAGTAAACTTCAGATTTTCTTATTTTAAATACATTTTTTATTATACAGTGGTTTACAACACTGTATATGATTTAGAAATAAATGATCCCATCTGTTCAGGTATATGTTACTATACCACATCTACCACCAAGGCACCTATAATTCTCCTGATAGTTTATCTGTTTCTTACTGAGATTCAACTGACCCCATATCATCATTTAAAATCAATGGAGACATGTTTTCTCTCTGATAGGACAGAAGAGAGTGAGTGGAAAACTTAAAATTATAGATCCAGTATCAACAAGATAGGAATATCTAGAATATCCTACTGAAATGTTTCACTGTTTCTTTTTCTTTGTTCTTGTGGAATTTTTAGTGTCCCATAAACAAAGCCCGTGCTTACACAAGATAAGAAAATCCAGTCATAGGAAATTTCTGTTGTCATTATCTAGTATTATTCTTCTTGTTCATGGTCAGAAAGCCATCAGGCACATATTTAAACTAATTTTGTTGACAGGAAGCTTTCTATTTATAGTCCAGCAAAATATTTAACTTTTTGTAATGTCAATTATATTTATCCGTTAATCATCAGATACATGTTCACTTGCTGCATGTAACATTAAAAGTAACTATTGACAGTTCCTGTTGCAAATTTATAACACAATTTATGGTTTTTGTTATAAAAATATATAGATTTTAGAATTTTTAGATACTAGAAATTAACAAAAAGCCTGGTTCTCAGAAGTCAACATCCTCTTGATTTGGCTAGTATATCACTGGCTACTCTTTTTCATCATTATTTGCTGATTCCTTCCCTTACTTTTTTTTGCCTTTTAACTTTGGGCAAAGCTTCACTTACTATCTACAGATACCACCTTAATTTTATGACCCAATCTTATTTCTTTAAATTTCTTTTAGATGCCAATGACTTCTACATTTATCTCCAGCATGAATCTCTACCTAAGCTCCTGACTCACATTATCAAGCTACTTACACAATAACTCTCCTTGGATATCTCATTTGTATCTCATATGCAACACTTCTCAAACTAAACTGCTGATCTTAGCTGCACATCTCCATTCACAGTACTCTCCAGCTTCTCTATACTCAGTTAAAATTTGTAATTATTGTTAATTACTCTGTTTCTTTCATACCCTACATCCAGTCCATCAACAATTCCTGTTCATTTACTTTTAACTTTCAGAGGCTCCTGCTCCTCCTTACCATCTTCATGGTTCCCTCTCTTGCTCCAATATGCCATTGTCTGCTTCTAAGTATTGAGCTGAGCTTCTACTTTGTTTCCCATTCTTCCAAATTGTCCCCAAATTTCTGGCATCTTTACTGCATCCAGAGTGATTGAGTTAAAACTAAGTACCTCTGTTTATCATCACATAATAAAGCCATCTGTATTCATTTGCCAGGTCTGCAGATACAAAGTACCACAAATTTGGTGGCTTAAAACTGATACAAGTCAGGGCCTCCCTGGTGGTGCAAGGGGTTAAGATGCAACCTATGAAGCTGTCCACAGCTACTATAGCACAAGTTCGATCCCCAGCCAGGGAGCTACCCACATGGTGCAGCAGACCTCTCCTGTCTCACCTGCAGCTCCCCTCAGCTGTGTATTTCCGTCAGTCTGCCTGTTCTGTTTCCCTGTGCTGTCTCTGGTGAATCCTCTTACCCCCCATACCTCTGGCCTGTACCCCAGTTCTTGTATGCATAAAAAAAAAAAACCAAAACTGATACAAGACAGCAAGGGGCACTAAAACCAGCCAAGAAAACTGCCCAAATAGGTTACCAGTCACTGTCTGAGTCTTGACTCGTGCTCACAGTTCTAAGACTACTCAGGCTCAGAGAACAACAATGGGATTTATTTAACAAACCAGGGAAAAATAAAGAGTTACTGAGGCCAAAAATGGCTTTTACCTTATCCGAAGCAGTGTCCAGTGTTTGCAAGTCCTAAACAAAAGCCGCCATGTCTTTCCGCCACTGAGGACACAGTGCTCCTTTCCTGAACAATAGGCCACATGTCCAAGATGGTGTCTTCCTGCCACTGTGGAAATGCGGCAGCCGACACTAGGCCAGGTTCCAAATCATAAGGACAACAAAAGACACAACAGGAGACACTCCTGGTGCTGCTGGGAAGCCCCAGCACAGCACCAGACAAGTCACACTTAAAACAGCAGCTATAGCAGCCTAACGAACCAAGAAGTGGCCACAATCATGCAACTCAGCAGGAAAGCACCTGCTCCCACCTTCTCCACTAGGCTGAAACCGCAGCAAAACCAGGAACAGTTTTAGTTGCTTGTTCACTGCAAAGCTTCCGAACTTTTCCTCTCTGAGGTTGGCTGCTGGAGGCCTCCACCTTCAGAGGCCGGTAACAGGCTTCTGGAAGATCAGTGTGGTGGGGGCCCAAACACTGAATCCAGAATATTAAATCCTAAAGACTGAGTGTTCAAATGCTGAATTCCGTAGGCTGCATAATCTGCAGCTCCTTCTGCAGTCCCTTATCCACCCCCAAATACAATACTTTTTAGCATTTTCCCTGGGGCTATCTGTCCTCATCAGTAAATCCCTCCAGGGTCACCACCTGTAACAGTAGCTGGCTTCAGCCACAATGGTTACAAAACAACAGAAATGTATTCTCTCACAGTTGTGGAACCCCATATGTGAAATGAGCTGACCTGAGTGTGGGTTCTCACCCACACACTTAAAAAGAACTTATAATGAGACTCAACTGCAGGCACACACAAAAAAAAGGTTAATAAAAGGTTTATTTACAAAAAGGGGAATGAAGAAAGGCATAACCCAGGGTGAAAGAGATAGATACATATTGGTGAATGCATCCTACCAGTTCCACTGAGCTGGGACCCCAATAAGTCTCTGAAGACCGATGAAAAACCAACCACCCCCTAGACTGACATGTCTCTGATTTTATACCAAGTCTGGCTGATTAACTGCACCCTTAGTTCCCAGCAATCCTCACTTCAGTGGTGACGGCATTATGCAATTTGCAGCCCTTGGTGCCTTGCATCTCTTTGGCCTGGAATAGGGTGGAGTCCATAAAACCTGAGTTTGTGGAGTTCATTCAGGACATCCTCTCCCTCCAACAGAATGAAGTTACAAATAAGTTGTTGATACGCTGTTTCACTCTGAATACTCAAGGAAAGAATCCTTTGTTGTCTTTCTCCTTACTTTTGGTCATTGCTCATAATCCTTATTATTCCCTCTCTTGCAACCTCATCATTCCAGTCTTTGTCTCAATTATTATGTGGTCTTCTTGGTATCTCTTCATCTGCATCTTTTTAAATACAATAACCCTTTCATTTCTCTTATCAAGACCTCAGTCTTTGAATTCAGGACACTCCTTAATCCAGCACAGCCTTAGTTTAACCTGATTATCCCACAGAAAACCTATTTCCTAAAAAGATTATGCTCACATAGGTTGAGGTACATGTGAATTTGGCATGACACTGCTCCACTTGTTTTCTCCTCCATTCCACTGACAGCAGTAGGAACTCAGTGGGGCATTTTTTTTCCTAGAGGATATTTGGCAACATTTGGAGATCTCTCCAAATATTGGTGCTCATATCTGGAGTGGCTATGGGCAACTAGAGTTTAGAACGTACAGTGTCAGCAATTAATAGCAACAAGGTTGAAAAGATTTGCACTTAGGATAAAAGTCAAAATACTAACAATGGCTTAAAGCATTTTATCTGCCTCTGTATCCTCCTCTAGCCTTGTGGCATCCTTTTCCTTGAACAGAACAGTCATGCTCTAAAGTTATTGATTTTATTCGGGATTCTTACCTTTCTCATTTCAGCATAGTGAAATTTCTTAGCTTCATCAGATCTTTGTTCAAATATCACCATCTTGGGCCTCCCTGGTGGCGCAAGGGTTAATATGCAACCTATGAAGCTATCCACAGCCACAGCAGCATGAGTTCAATCCCCAGTCAGGCAGGGAGCAACCCACATGGTGCAGCAGACCTCACCTAAAACTCGCCCGCTTCTCCCCTAAGCAGTGTACTTCAGTCAATCTGCCTGTTATGCTACCCACTCTGTCTCTGGTGAATCTTCTCACCCCCCGCCACACCTCTGGCCTGTACCCCAGCACTTGTATGCATAAATAAATGTATCTTTAAAAAAATAAATAAAAAAGCAAATATCACCATCTTGATGAACCTTATCTGATAACATCATTTTAGTTGCAACTGCCATTCTAAATACTGCGAATTCCATTTGCAAAGTGCTACTAGTTTTACATACCCAGAAGCCATTTTTTATACTAAGCCATATACTTAATATTTAGCTTGTCAGTCTTTTATATTCTTTCACCCAAAATTAGTTATTTAATAAAGGGAATGTTTGTCTGCTTTACTCGGTGATTTGCCCACAGAGATTTACACATAGCAGAGCTCAATAACTGTGTGTGAAATGAATGGATAGTTGAATAAATAAATTAATCAATAAAAGAAAAAAAAAACTTGTCTTGCACCAAAGGTAAACAGTGTTTCTTCCAAAAGCAAATACATGGAACAAAGCTGTATACTTCTGGGTTTAAAATATACACATGTGCAAATATTAAAACATTCTTTTTCTTCCAATGAAATAATGAAGTTTGATTCATTATTTTATTTATGTCTTAAAGAAAATATATATAATGTTATTTTAAATTTCCCAAAACTTTCTAAAGTAGTTGTAAAGAGAGATCATGTGGTTGTTCAGGTGATACTTCCACAATTCAAACCCTTTGTATGCCCTCTTTAGGCTGTGATTTTTTTTATTTAATGACATATTCCTTAAAAAGCAATAATAGGGACAAATTAGTGATCTAAGGAATAAGCTGGCATCACCAGAAGCAAACCTGGTAAGCAATGAAAAACAAAACCTATGTGATGCAATATGTTTTAGTGGGACTATAAAATGACAGCACCTTAGGGTATTACCATTACTGATGATTGAATTAGGGTGCTTCTTTCAAGACATCTCTTTGGGGCTCTATTCATTTATTCTAACTTATTCACATTTTACATAATGATAGGAGGACAAAAATGAGCCTGATGCAGATTATATAAAGTTGCATTAAAACACAAGCTCTAATGAGAAATAAAGCATTTTAAAATTTCAAAAATTATAGCTAACTATGGAATAAGTTACAAAATTAACCTTAGAGATACAAGTAATGACATGTGGCAAATCACCCTTAATATATATACTGCCTGCCTATATCTTATTCATTGGATTTATAAATATATAGTGATGAGTAAATAAGAAGATTATTCTGGAATTTATTTTCAAATCAAAAATAACTTTGTTTTTCTCATTGGGAAGTGGAAATACATCTTTATTTATTTATTTATTTTTATAGAGGCATGTTTTTTATTTATTTACTAATTTGTTTGTTTTGCTTGTTCATACATGCATTGGGTACAGTCAGAAGCGCGGGAGGGTGAGAGAATTCACCAGAGCCAGAGCAGGGAGCAGAGCAGGCAGAAGGACCGAAGTACACTGCTGAGGGGCGCAGCGGGCGGCAGGAGAGGTCTGCGCGCCATGTGGGACCCTCTTCTGGTGGCCGGGGAGCAGCTGGGGATCGAACCGGTGCCGCAGAGGCCACGGGCAGCTTTGCAACCCAGCGCTCAACCACTGGCCACCGGGGAGGTCCAATAATTCTTTTTTTTTTAAAGGTTTATTTATTTATGCATACAAGAGCTGGGGTACAGACCAGAGATGCAGGGGGGGAGAAGATCCATTAGAGACAGAGTGGGGAACAGAACAGGCAGACTGACTAAAATATGCTGCTGTGGGGAGCAGCGGGCGAGTCAGGAGAGGTCTGCTGCGCCATGTGGGTTGCTCCCTGGAGGGCCCGGGATCAAACTCGTGCTGCAGAGACTGCAGGCTGCTTCATAGTGTGGTGCTTAACTCTTTGTGCCACCAGGGAGGCCCTGGAAGTGGTAATACTTCTATGAAAATCTATTATATTTTCAAAACTGAGGTCATTTCAAAGTCTGAGTCACTTCATAGTTCTGTAGTTCTAAATTTTCTTGAAAACATTTTGTCAGATTTATCCTATAGGTTGTCTTGTACTTTGAGATACTGTAAGGCAACAATACTTTTGTTAATTACCTAATGTCAAGTCTTGATATTATGGACAGCATGTGGGATTTTGGTGCACATACAGGTGAATAATACATCACAGTCAACATTGCTTCAATGGTTTGCAAGTGAGCAAATGGTTATTGACTGGGGATTTGGAAATCATGATTATGGGCAATATTACAAGCTGCCTGCAATGTTGAGCTATGCATACCAAATTACATGGACTCTATTATATTACTTGGGACATTAAATAAATTAACTGTCTCGAAAATAAAATTGTTGTCCAGAAAACCATTTATACTGTTGCATGTTATTTGTTAATAACTGCTGAAGAGTATCTGTTATCTCTTGCTGAAAGTTTTTGTGTGTGTGTGTGTTTAAGGCTCAGCTCTTATGGTTCCTCGGTTGGAATGGCAGAGTATGTTCGGGTCCTAAAGTCAGTTGACATAACTTTAAACATATCTGATCACCACCTTCTGGGACTATATTCCAATGGTGCCCATAACTAACAGAGAATACTTTGTAGCTCACCATATGTGATCGTTACTAGCTTTCACCCTTCCCTTCTTAGTGCACCATTCTTTCTAAGGAAGGAATTTGTACATTCTCGTAAGTAAAGAGTTTACACATAGCAGGGCATTTATAGATGTTTGTTTAATTGAATGTATGGAACGATAGAAATAAATATTGAATATTACCTAGCCCATGAGATAAATTCAGTCCTTATAAAATATAAAAGCATCATTTGATTGATTCTACCCTTTTATCAGCATCACCATCATTATTAATGTTTCTTAATTTCCAATTCATCATGGATTAAACAAAATTAATAACTAGAGAAAGAAATAAAAAAGGGAAAAAACTGAATATGTAGAAAAAGTAAAAAAAAAAAGTCTAAAAGTACAAGCCCAAATTAAATAAAACAACTGCCAAATTACTCTCCAAGTTTCTACTACATTACTCCCACTTTATCGTTCACCATGAGCACCCTTCCTGTAACACTGGCTCTAAGCTATAGATAAATATTTGAGAACCATGGGCACATAATTACTTAATTAAAAAAAAATTGCCATCAGGATAAAATCAAAATATCTTGTTAAGACTTGTCAATTCAACTGTTTTGTAGCCCAGAGCTCCTCACACTTTAACATGCACAGGAAGCTCCTGGGGATCTTATTAAAATACAGATTCAATATCAGCAGGTCTGTGATAGACCAGAACTTTGCATCTCTCCTGTCTCCTGGTGATGCTGAAGCTTCTGGCCTTTGGTCCACATCTCAGTAGCAAGGTTAGCCTACTGCTTCTCAGCCTTCATAATCA